CCACTTGCATTGTCTCTGTCTCTTTCAAAAATAAGCAAATATTAAAAAAAAATTTTTTTTAGTTTTATTTATTTTAATTTTTATTTATTTTTGAGAGACGGAGACAGAGCATGAGCGGGGGAGGGGCAGAGAGAGAGGGAGACACAGAATCCCTAAGCAGACTCCAGGCTCTGAACTGTCAGCGCAGAGCGCGACATGGGGCTTCAGCTCACAAATCGTGAGATCACGACCTGAGCCACAGTCGGATGCTTAACTGATGGAGCCACCCAGGCACTCCATAAAAAAAGTTTTATTTATTTAAGTAATCTCTACACCCAATGTAGGGCTTGAACTCATGACCCTGAGTTCAAGAGTCACACGCTCCTCAATCTGAGCCAACGAGGCACGCCTCCTTCCTTTTTAAGGGCTGAATCATATTCCAGTGTGGACAGACCACATTGTGTATATCCTTCATCCACTGAGGGACGTTTGGGTTGTCTCCACCTCTTAGCTATTGTGAACAGTGCCGCAGTGAACATGGATATACAAATATCTGTCCGATTCCCCCCCTTTTTTTAATGCTTATTTATTTATTTTTATAAATTTTTTTTAACCTTTATTTATTTTTGAGACAGAAGGAGACAGAGCATGAACGGGGGAGGGTCAGAGAGAGGGAGACACAGAATCTGAAACAGGCTCCAGGCTCTGAGCTGTCAGCACAGAGCCCAATGCGGGGCTCGAACTCACGGACTGCGAGATCATGACCTGAGCTGAAGTCGCTCAACCGACTGAGCCACCCAGGCGCCCCAATGCTTATTTATTTTTGAGAGAGAGAGAGCACGAGCGGGGCAGGGGCAGAAAGAGAGGGAGACACAGAATCCGAAGCAGGCTCCAGGCTCCGAGCTGTCGCATAGAGCCCGACGCGGGGCTCCAACTGCGAAATCATGACCTGAGCTGCAGTTGTTTGCCCAACCAACTTATCCACCCAGGCGCCCCTGGTCCCTTTTCACTTAAAAAGTATAATTTTGTATATAATACTATACACACACACAAAAATACGGTGACAGGGACATTGCCTGGTAAAGCAGCTAGGCATGGGCCAGGAATCACGGGGAGAGTCCTGTCACAGCTGCCACGTGGCTTGTAGTAATCTCATTCACATATTGCTTATTTTTTACTTTAACTTTTTATTTATTTATTTTTTTAAGTAGGTTCCATGCCCAATTTGGGGCTCAAACTCAGGACCCTGACATCAAGAGTTGCATGTCCCACCGACCGAGCCAGCCAGTTGCCCCACTTATCCCTTATTCTTGTTCATCCCCCACAACAGGCTGTGAGCTCCAGGAGGGGCAGGATGGGACCACCGAAGCAAGGTACTCCATGTGTGTTTGACGAATGAATTTCGCTTCCCACGACCCATTACTCTATAATGGGGCTGGTAGACTTTTTCTGTACAGAGCTAAATAGGAAATATTTTGGTTTTGTTGGCTGTAAGATCTTCATGGCGATGACTCACCTGTACTGTTATAGCCAGAAAACTCCCGAGTCCTAATTCTAATAAGTGGAGACGGCTATGTGCCAATAAAAGTATTTACCCACACGTAAATTTAAATGTGAACGTCGTATGATTATCATGTGCTGTAAAATAGTCTTCTTTTGATTTTTTTCCAGCCATTTAAAAACATAAAAACCATTCTAAATTGTACCGAAACAACAGTAGGGGGATGCAACCTACAGGCTGATGCCAACTCTGTAACATTTTTTTTTACATGTTTATTTATTTTTGAGAGAGACAGAGACAGAGTGCAAGTGGGGGAGGGGCAGAGAGAGGGGGAGACACAAAAGCTGAAGCAGGCTACGGGCTCCAAGCTGTCAGCACAGCAGAGCCCGATGTGGGGTTTGAACCTATGAACCATGAGAAAATGACCCGAGCTGAAGTTGGATGCTTAACCGACTGAACCACCCAGGTGCCCCCCGACTGTGTAACATTTGAAGGATTTGATCAAACATGTTACTTTTCTAGTCAGAAATACATATACTTCATATGTGTAATCTTTTAAGACTGTGGTCTGGAGTCAGACGCATCCCTCCTCCTGTCGTCTCTGCCACTGATTCACTGTACGGCCTCGAGGACGTCGCTTTCCCTCTCTGATCCCAGGTCTGCAGGCTGTGAGATGCAGATGAAAACAGCACACCCTAGGGTCTCCCACGAAGAGCGGACACAAGGAATGACCATGTGTCATTCACTCACCCACATGAGAGGGAACAAGCATGGCCACCCCATTTGGGAGGAGAGGAAGGTGAACTTGGAACAGAAAGCACTTGGCTAAGTTGCCAGGCAGACCGTACTGGGCCCATGGCCGCTTTTGGGGATGGAGCTCAGGTTGCATCTCGGTGACCCCTGGGAGGTCCCTCCTCTCTGGGGACACTGAAGCCACAGGGGAGGCTCCAAGCAGACTGCCTCTCATTGCTGTCACTTAGGGTCTGTGTAGGCAGCAGCCTCGGAGAATCTCCCCGTGATCCCTACTTCTTAGCATTCGTGGCCTCGTGTGATCCCTACCCTTGTGTGCCTGACTTCTAACCAATACAGTATGTCCGGGTGAAGAGATACGGCTTCTGTGATTAGATTCCAAACAATTCTGACATTGCAGATTCTCTCGTTGGTTCTAATGAAGCATGCTGTCTGGTTGGGGAGGCTCATGTGGCCAGGGACTGAGGCCCTCCTACCAACAGCCCCAAAGGAACCGGCTGAGACCAACAGCCAGTCAATGAGCTTGGAAGTGGATCCTTCCCTGCATGAGCCTTCAGAGGAGACCCTGGAAGTGGCTGGCACCTTGCCTGCGGCATTGTGAGAGGTCGTGAAACAGAGGACCCGCTGAGCAGCACCTGGAGTCCTGACCCACAGAAACGGAGATAATAAACCCGTGTTGCTTGAAGTGGCTACGTTTGGGGTAATTGGTTACACAGCAATAGCTAGCAAATAGTAACCTGCTTTCTCCTGCCTCAGGCAGGCCATCCCAGGGCATCCCTTAAGCTGGGTGACATTTAGGGGCACCTGGGCGGCTCAGTCAGCTGAGCGTCAGACTCTTTTTTGGGTCAGGTTATGAGTCGTGGGATCCCGCGGCACGAGCCTCTCTCCCTCCCTCTGCCTCTCTACCTCACTCGCTCTCTCTCCCTGCCTCTCAAATAAAAAAGAAAACAAAACTGGGTAACTATTAGCCAGTGCCATCTGTTTACACAGGATACACAGGGCGCTTTTGGCCCAGTGGCCGCTAGAGGCCCATCAGACCTCCGTGCAATCCGCTCCCGG